GTACATTCGGGAACAAAGCCATTATTAAGTCCAAGTTCAAGAAAGACTATTATAAATGTTCATTTGTTGTGCAGTAAGTTGGTAACCACCGGAAAATTTGGTGCTATATCAATAGGAACCTGTAAATTCATCAAATGGGTACACATAAAAAAGGAATTCAAGCTATTAACTTAATTATATATATATATTATATATATATATATATATATATATAATGATAGTATCAATAGAAAGTGCATAACCTAAAAAACCCCAAGAAACCCTAGAAATATATATATATATATATATTATATATCTATATATATATATATATAGATATATATACTTTGCTATATCTAAGTTTTTTTTGACTTTACAAACCTAAAAATCACAACTTTTTATTCAAAATCACTGAAAAAAATTATTAAAAAAAATTCAATTTTTTTTCCAACAAATTGGTATTAAAAGATGCGATATTTAGGTTTGTAATATCAAAATAAAAAAAATAGATACCTCAAAGTATTGTTTTCTATGTATTTTATTGATTTCTAGGTTTTTAGGGTTCCAAAATTTATACATTTTTGCTGATGTTTCCCATATATATATATATCTATATATATATATATATATATATATATATATATATATATATATAATATCTTAATAAGCATTTAGCCCAAAATGCTGAATTTTAAGAGGTACAATACTTTATGCAATTTATACAATAAATTTATGCACTAAACTGTATTATAGAAAATTAAGGAAGTAAATCGGTCAAAATTAGACTTAGTATTCCCTATTTTAAGCAAATAGAATCGGTCTACAGTTGAAGTCTATATAGCATATCATATCTCTTCTCCACCACTGACACACTCTAAACTATCTCCCTTATGAACGAATTCTGGAACTCCGTTCACCCTCCTCCATGACCACCTTCACCACTGTCTCACTTCATCTCACGATGGTCCACCATCCCATCTCTTTAAAATCCAGTCAAACCAACAACACCTTCACTTTAATCTCTCATCTCCTGTCCCACTTGCCCACTTCCTCGATCGTAAGCATCGTCGCCTGCCGGCTTCACCATCTTCTCTATTGTCCACCCACTTCACTAGATCTGTCAACACAAATAACCTTAAAACCTTATATTCTCCACCTTTCTTGGTCTCTCTATCATCCACCACTACCACCTAAAAGTTATGAAGGCAGATCCGTCGAGTCCAGGTACGATCACACCATCAAAGCCATCGCATCCCTCAATGTTTCTAATTTGTTTCTTATGTTATTTCTTTTTTGCTTCAGTGAAAAAAAGAATGGAGCCTCTTCATAACGAAAACATTAAAAAAGTTTCAGCCCCAAATTTGTTTACTCTTTAAAATTGATGATTGATTTGGTGCTTTCAGGGTAATTTCTGAATTGATCCCTTCTTCCACTATCTCCATTCCAATGTCTACTTCTCTCATTCTTAAAATGGCGACCACTAACGCGTAGTGTCGTCTCCACCGCCGCTAAACCGTTATTGTCTCCACCACCGACATGGTGTCACAACCAAAAAGATATGGTGGTACTGTCCTTCATCTGCCATAGGAAACTCTTACCATGTATTGTTTTTGCTAATGTTTGTCAAGCTTCATTAATCTATTGGCTAATACATCTGATTTTTTATTTGTGTTGATACATTCTGTGTTTTTGCCTATGATGTTCTACAGCTCACCACCGATGTTCATAACCCCATGGAATAAATAAGTATATCATGTTACTGAATAACTTTTTGAAATTTGTTTCTCTGTATATATGTTATACACACACTGAAAACATAGCTTGTAATGAAATTACTCATTGAGAAGTTACTCAATGTTTGTTTTAACATCAAATGGGATTTCTTACATGAAAATGAAGGTATATTTATTAAATTATGACTATATTATTTGTAAATTTGTTTTTTAATTTGATCATGAATGGATGGAGAACATATTAGAACCAACCTCATACAAAAGACAATGTAACTATATCTGTGGTATTTTCTCACTAACAAGCCCTAATTCTGTACACGTTTGATTTTTAGTTCCTCTCTCATTGTTGCTGATTTGGATGATCAATGATTATCATTTACAAAGGACCTTGGTTCATATGCCACAATTGAAGTCTCAAAAAACGTCAGGTAAGCTCCTTCTTTCTTGAACTTCTCTCTGTCTAATCCAAGGTAAAGTTATTCTCAATGTTCCAGTCCGGTACTCATAAAATTAGTCCGGTACTCATAAAATCTTATATATTACAACCTTTCAAGTCTTTACCATCTTGAAGATATGAATGTTTTGTTTGGTTTGTTACATGTTTTGTTTAATTTTTATGATTTTTTCTTGTGTTTGTTCTATTATTTAGTTTTTTCTGTTCACTTTATAAGTGTTGGTTTTGGTTTATTTCAGATCTGGTGAAAATCTAATGCACAACTCTTAAAGCATGAACAGGTATATGGTGAGAAAGATTGTGGTTTCTCTTTTGCGAGTTTATATATATATATATATATATATATATATATATATATATATATATATATATATATATAGAGAGAGAGAGAGAGAGAGAGAGAGAGAATAACAGAGACATTATTATCTTTATATGGATTTGATAAAGCCAAACCGACATTAGCACCATGTTTTCAATAGGTCCTTCAGTTTAGTGTTTCACAAACATTAGTGCTCTTGAAACTATTTGGAATTTGCAAACGTGTAGCTGATTTGTGTGTAATATTTGCCCCTGTTTCAGTTTAATGTTTCACGAGCATCACACCAGGAGCAACCAAGTAAGGGTGAAATGGTCCAAGTGTTTGAAACTTGCCAAAACATTAACCATGATTCTATAACCCCCAACAGCTATGTGATCTCCATCAAAACCACCAACACCACACCAGAAGCAATAAACCGGGGGTAAAAATGGTCCAAGTTTTGGAAACTTGACAAAACAAGAGCCATGAGTCCATAAACCCCAAATAGCTTTGTGAAGATGTGTACAAAAACTATATCAACAAAATGACAATCTCACCCTCAGGTGCTCTGCTACATCCTCTTGATCCACACTACAATTTATTTCTTCTTTTCATCCATTACATAAGTGGGTTCTCTCTGTTTTTTCAGACAAGAAAAGCATAAGAAAAGAAACAATAGCTTTAAAACTTTGCCTTTCCATAACAAAGTCAAGTCGACTTACAAGTAGAGGACTCATAATTGTTTAAAAGTAAGGCCATTTATTATCCTAACAAAGTCAACTCACAATTATAGATTTCTACTATCTTTTATGTAGTTTAATGATTCTTTGACTGAGTCTCAGTCATAGTAACCTGTTACATACATGACTTTATAGGCACAATGACTACTCTTTATTCTTCTATCTTTTCGAAAAAAAAAACTACCTACGTATAGTATCTCACTTATAATTTGGTATATGGTTTTTAAAAATAGTAAAATACAAATGTCTAAATCAAGTTTCTACAACCATCACCCTCTCTCTGCGTCTAACCTTGAACTGTCATTGTAAAACACCACCTAGGGTCTTCAACTACCCGCTTCCCTTATTTTCTCCACCATCAGCCATTATCTTTAACCACCTTTACTCACCCTTGCTTTTTGTGTAGTAACTCACACACACACGAAAATACAATGGGGGATCAAGCTTGGATCTTAGATAGAAAGACAAATATAGGGACCAATATTTTAGTTGACTCAAATCTTGATATGAAATATCTCAACAAGTCAAGTTTTTTGTACCTTTGATTTTACATCTACTGACCTCTAAAAATGTTTTGAATGTTTGTTTTATACTAATTTTGGTAGGAAATTCATAAGTTTTGTTTTGATTCAAAGGAAAAAGGTATAAATAAGTGAGATCTATTTCTATTTCTATATACGCTATATCTAATTGCATGTTATTTACATATGTATGTAATAAATAGTGTTGGTTTGTGGGTTTACAGGTCATGGTCCTTTACTTCAGAAGGATTTGGTAAGACCTTTTTCAAATTTGAGTTTAAATAGCCTTCAATTCTAAATAATGGTGTTTTTAAACAAAGTTGCTATAATTGCCTAGAGATTCGACAAAATATATGTTGCTACATGTGCTAATGAACCCTAAAGATGTAATGGTTGCTTGCCACATCTTTTTATTAATGATTTGTAACAGAGGCTTAAACATTTTGTCAGAAATTTGATTTTTACTAAAATTTAGTTATTTGTGTTGTTATATTTATGTGATTTTTTAATATATATATATATATATATATATATATATATATATATATATATATATATATATATGGCTATTTTTAGTGGTGTGACACAAAAACTAATGTCATTACTAAATTGTTGTTGAGTTTTACAATTGATTGTTTAACCGGAATAATTTAAAACATACCAATTTGATTTTAATTATTGTTATAATTCCAATAACTTTATTGTTATTTAAATAATCATTTCAGATAATATCTAAATTTATGCATCAGATTAACAAGTTAAATAATTAAAAAACTTAAAATACTTTGTTATGATAAAATATATAATTTTTGTAAAAAGCTTGCATAAAAATATTTGATATATATTAATGGGTTTGTTCACCTAAAAATGAAAAAAAGTACAATGTTATAAATGGATAGATTTTTTCGGGTACTTCGACAACACTTTGAGTATTAGCTAATTATTAGTGAAACCTGATGAAAAATTCAAAGGTAGTGATGTTTATAAATCAAATGTAGTGTATAAAAACATATTGCACGATTAATAATGTAAAATCTTTCATGTGTTCGTGTATATTTGTAAACAATAAACTAATTAATGAAAAACTATTTGCACCAGTCGCTAGGCGCGGGTAAACGGCTAGTATATATATATATATATATATATATATATATATATATATATATATATATATATATATATATATATATATATATATATATATTATATATGAAAGTCACTTTTACCCTCAACATTTGTCAGTTTTTCTAAAGCAGAGGCTTTGTCATTTGACTTCTAAAGCAGAGGCTTTGTCATTTGACCATATTTTTCCAGGAGCTTTTGTGCAGAATCTTTGTCCCCTTTGGCCTGTATTGTAAGTATTTCCCTACTTAAGCTCTCAACCGCACCTTCAATCTATGGCAACACATGAAACAAAATATTAAAATGTAAATTCATATTATGATTACAAAAAGGAAATCTATTGAAAAGCTCATATATACTGGCTTATAACCGATTTAGTCCTTATCTTTTTTTAGACAATTTGGTCCCAAAAACTGACAATTGTATTTATTTTGACCGTTTTACCCGGTAATTAGTCATCAATAGAATATAATGAACTTTTCGCAAATTAATCCATGACTATAAGGTTTTTTTTCATAATATATTATTTTTAATTTTTTTAATATTATCTCATTATATTAGTATATTTTTTTGTATTGTATTGTCTTATATTAATCTTATTATATTTTCTTTGTCTGATAGATTATATACATTATGAAAATAACTTTTTTCTTCTAAAAATAATCATTTTTATAATATTTTGTCTAACAAATTTTATTATTTTACATTGATCTTATGATATTTTGTTTGACTAATAGAGAATATTTGTTATGAAAAAAAAAGTCTTTTGAAAGTAACCATTTTTATAATATTTTTGTCTAACAATTTTGTATCTTATATTAATCTTATGGTAATATCTATTATGAAATATATTTTTTTCTTTTTAAAAGTAACCGTATTTATAATATTTCTATATATCGTTATTTTACATTAATCTTATAGAATTGGCTATTTTTTAGAAGAAAAAAACTATTTTCTTAATAGATATTCTCTGTCAAAGAAAATACTTTAAGTTTAATGTAAAATAATACAATAAGTTTATTTTTTTAAGAGAAAAAAATTTCATAATAGATATTATCTTTCTGACAAAGAAAATACTATAAGTTTAATGTAAAATAATACAATACGTTAGACAAAAATATTATACAAACACTTTTTTTTAGAAGAAAAAACTATTTTCATAATAGATATTATATGTTAGACAAAGAAAAATACCATAAGATTAATGTAAGATAATACAATGTGTTAGACAAAAAAATATATACTAAGATAATGTTAAAAGTATATAGATTTTTTTCAAAAAATCCTTATACTTTTGGATTTATTTGTGAAAAAGTCTTAATATTATGCGGTGACCGGTTTAATGGGTAAAAGGGTCAAAATGAATGCAGTTGTCGTTTTTTGTGACTTAATTGAGTAAAATAAAAAGATAAGGATTAAATCGATTATAAGATCAAGATTTTTCAATAGATTTTCCTTAAAAAAAAACAAAGTTTAAGGAAGCATACATTTTCAAAGTCAACAGAGAATGTCTCATCAGGATGCAAAACATAAGCTCCTTTCTCAAGTAGCCAGTTAAACTGTAGTGCTTGTCCTTTACTGATATACATGTATAATAATCCATTACTCTAAATATAAATACAACATGACACACACACATATATATATATATATATATATATATATATATATATATTTATATTTATATATATATGAAAAGTTTATAAAACTAGTGATTAGTTGAGTTACCTATGAACTTCCTCTAACCCGAAACGTGCTGTTCGAAAGCAACTAGCAAGGAAAGATACATAGATTGATTTTACAAGGCTCTTTGGAAGCAAGTCCTGGTCAACCCCATTGGAAAAAAGTCAAAACATGAAGAGGATATGACAACTATACCCATACCAACTAACCTTTGAAATAAGGAAATTAAGGGCCCACAGGCCGACAATGTCTGCTTTAGCTTCTTCAAGAGTCGTATGAAGTTCTTGTAGCTCCTGTTTCATCGTATAAACTGTTTATGAATTTCTTAAACAGTTTAATGGAATGAACCAATCCATTCCCGATTCCATCATTAACCAAACACTACGTAAATATAGAAAATCAGAGAAACTAACCAATCTCACGGTAGACTTTTCACCACTAGGAAGTGTTATTGTATGTGGTCCAATACCATGACAACATTCATGACAAATCGTGTGAGTGAAAAAAGAGTCAAAGTTAACCAGCTCCCGTTGTTCCTCTATAATAATCAAGTCAGTTATAGGCTGAAGAATTAGATTGAACCTGCTTATAAAAAAAAGTTTGGGTATCAGATCATTTTTTCAACTTATCTTTCAATACTTCTACAATTAATCATAAAAACGTATATTCGAGATATCATATATATATATATATATATATATATATATATATATATATATATATATATAATCATGGATTGTTCACTTTACTTTGCTTCAGAAACATTCTTCAACATGACCATTGATGTACCACGATCTTTTACAATACGCTCGTCATTCGGAAGATTAAAGGCTTGAATTTGTGGGCCCTTCACGTCCTGCATTAACATATATAAGAGATTATCAAAATGTCATAATTTAACAAAATACTTTCACAAAACACATATATGTATAAGTGGAACTATACATGCTTTCTAGGGCTCTATAGTTATGATGAGGGCATTCACATCATTTGTGCCATTAATTAACTTACCCCTGAATTATAAACAAGTTGGATGATGCGAATAGGTGCAAATGTCACATCTTCTGATTTGTACATGTCATCCATTGGAAGATTTTTCTTCAAGTCCTACACACACATTAATTGATTTAATGAATAAAAGTACCACTAACAAAGTTGAAAAATAACTAACGATTATCCTTTCAGCAACCCTTGAGTTGGCCCATATCACCCCTGCCTTTGGGACTTTTAAATATTTTTTTTAAAAACAAAGTAATATTGATCATTAGTAAATCCAACATTGTACCTATAAATGATCCCCAAAGAGTTGAAGTTGAGCAGTTGCTTTATCATCCCGAATTCCAATAAATGCCTCAAACGCTGCCTAAAGAAAAAAACTCAGAAAAATCTCAGTCATGAATTTTTATTTTATTTTTTCTTTAACTTTTACAATGAAATCATTGTGAACAATTCAAAAAAGAATAAAAACAATACCTTGTATCCAAATAGTACGTCTTCATAAGTCTCATATGGTCCAATAGTAACGTCCAACTTAGAATCCTTAAGAAGATGAGAAAAACAAAAAACAATTACAACCATATTTAAAAGAAGAAAAGCAACACAAATTACAAAATTTTGATGTATAATGAAGTAAATTGTGCACTGACCAGTTCCATCCAAGCTATATCAGAGTCATAATAGTCATTTGAGAGGAAAGCTTTAGCCTTGCTATGTAAAAATCTCTTCAAACTGGAAAAATGTGAATTAACTTAATACGTATGAATTAATAGATATTATAAGATTTAATAAAATGTATACCTAGGTGAAGTGGTTAAATCCCCTGCTTTATTCAATAATTCAGCAGCCTTTTCCAAAAATGTAGAATATTCTTGAGAGATTGGGATGATATGGAGATCACTTGTGGGATTGGAATGAGTGTCACTATGCCTTCGAATAACACTGAAAAAGCCTGTTGCATCTTTCTTTTCATTATCCGAGAGCCCTTTCATCCACAATTCAAATTCCTTACCAAGATTAAGAAAGTGTTAAATGCAAGTAATAACAATGTACTTTAATTTTTTATTATTATACCAATATCATCTAAATACAAAGAAATGTTCATTTGATGGGTAATTATTCAAAGTGTAATGTCTAAATAAGAAATATTTTAAAAGTATGATACCTTTATAAGAAAAAAAATTAAGTACAATGCTAAAATAGAAAGAAATGAAGTCAGGGTGCTAAAATATACAAACCACGAGATATATCAATATACTTTCATTTACTTTTTTTTATTATAGGCTTATAGCATCCTGCTTTCTTTTCTTCCTTCTACAACATTATACTTTGAAGATTCTACATAGTTATAGCAATGTCAATACATACAAAGTAATGTTGATTACTATGAATAGGATAGATTTTAATGCCATAATAACAAATAAATTGAAAGTAGAATGTTACAATAGACAAAATGCAAGAAAAAGCAATGTACTTTCATTTATTAGTCTATTATATAGCATTATACTCTCACTCCTTCCTATTACAATATTTTACTTTGAAAAGCTACCCAGTTATAGTAATGACATCAAAATACAAAGCAATTTTCACTGCCATAATTTGCTAAAATTTTGGTATATTTTCACAGTGTAATATCCTAATAAAAAATAATTTGAAAGTAAAATGTATTAATAAGAAAAAAACAAAAAATGAAAGCTAAAGTAGAATGTACACAAAATTTCTTAATGTACTTTCATTTATTTGTTTATTATATCATCCTACTTTCATTTGCACCTGTTATAGTATTGTACTTTAAAAATTAACCAAGTATAAAAATTTCATCATAACAGAAAATAATTTTCATTCGGATAGATTTTTCAAAATTAAATACCCCTGATAAGAAAGAGTTTGAAAGTACAATGCAATAATTAGAAATATTTTTCAACGTATAATGCCTTAATAAAAAATTCTCTTAAAGTACAATGGTAACATAGAAAGAAATTACCATTTTATCCATGTCTGGAGGGTAAAAGTTGGCACCAGGTGGTTTCAACATGGGAAATGCAACTTTGTATTCAACACCTTTCCAGCCAACCACCTTCCTTGTTGCTTCCGGAAAACAATTTCATAGCCGAGTCTGCAGTCGTTACAAAAGCTTCATTTTCATCCAGAGTAGACCTGTCAAATAAAATCAACTCAACTTTGATAGCACTTTACATTTTCTGAAATCACATTCATATAATACATTAGATATACTCGAGTTCACATATATAAGAAATAGTTTTTTTTTTTTCAATTAAATGACAGTTTTTACAAAGTCGTGGATTTACTATATAAAAAGATCTAGTAGTAGAGACAAATTACAATACTTATATGACCAGAATCTTACCATGGACTCTTATTTATCAAATAATACTTCCATTTTAACATGTCAAACTCAGATAATTGACTCTGCTGGTTTAACCATTCCCTTAAGGACGCATTGCTGTACCAAACCTGATCAAAAGGGAATCTACTAATTTGTTATTATCCAAACTAGCATGGAAATAAAGTGGTTACGTGTTTATATCAATATGTGTATCAATAAATATGCAGAAGTTCATAAAAATAGACCTGGTTATAGAATATATCATCTATTATTCTTCCGGCTTGAATGAGTAAAACCATAACTTCCTTGTCCTCCTCGGTCAACTGCCATGCAATAATTTAATCAAATTCCTAATTCAAGTTGTAATTAACAACGAAATAAATAAAAAAAAGAAAAAGAAAAAACAACCTCTACATCAAGTGAGACAGGAGCATAACGGTTTAGCTTCTTTTGCAGAGTCAAAATCTTTTCTACCACATTGTCTTGGTACCCTATCAGGATATCCAGTTAATGCTTCAACTCAATATTATGATACATGATATGTGAATTATGATTTCAAGATTATTTATGTATGCATATAAGAGTGCTTCTACGCATGCATAAATATGTACCTTTTGGTAATTATGTCAAAAAGTTGACCATATTGTCCATCCAAATTGTAGGGTACATATGCAGGGTGTCCTTTAACAAGTAGGTGCTTGTACTCTTCAACTGAGATATATTTAACAGCTAAGACTTTAGATCCCTATAAGAAAAAAGAAATTATATATTTAATGAACTGTTGTAAAATGAGCACCTGAGATTTACAAGTTTAGAACTCTAGGGCATGTCCCATTTTTTGGATGCTACCATTTTCTACTTTGGTATACTTGGAGAAAACATTACCTGAAGAGTAAAAGCTTCCATTGGAATTGGGGCTAATGTTGTCACAAGATAAACATCATTAAATTCTTTATCCATGAACCTCCCACGGTATGTAACACTACAACCGAATTCAAAGACAATAATATCACTTCAATAACAAGTACTAATCTTAAAAAATGTTCATTATGAAAATTTATTATTATCCAAGATTCCATGCATTGCAAAAGGTTTCTATTTTCACTTTTGGTGACCTACGTATACATAAAAACAACATGCTAATTACATAGAAGGTGTACCGTTCTTCCATAAAATCAAATAGCAATTCAAAGGCATCATCCGGGAGGTTTACACCAAGCTCTCTAGAAGCCCTCTCCTACAATCATACGCCCATTTCAAGTCATATAACCATAATTTCCAAGTGTAAAATAAACTTTGACGATATAGCATAGACCTTTATGCATAAAGTGTTGGCTTAAGATGTCTAAGGTCCTAACTAAATTGGTATAACGTTGATAAATAAAAGTAAAGTCCTTTTTGGGTTGCCCTCATAACCAATAAATTGCATAGTTGAGCAGAGAAGAGGTTCCATAATCTTCCTCCTATGGACGTTTTTATGAAGCCTGAAAAGATTTCTCGAATCCCCCATTTAGATAATCAAGGAACTAGATAACTGCCTTATTTGAGATAATATATTTTATGTTCAATTATAGTTTCTAGATGTCTCCTAATCAACTATAAATAGGCCCTTATGCCTTGGAATTTTCGGCTAATATATCCCTCCATGGTAGATCCGAAAATTCATCCTCTCTCCTCTCTCTTCGAATCTTTCTAGGGTTCTTGTGTTGTGGGTGTGACCCAATAGATGCTCACACATATTGGAGCTTGTTTTCAAAGAGACTTGTGGATTAATCTTATTAGAATCAAAGATTTGTTTGCAATAACAAATCAGAGGCATGTAATTCTTTTGAGGATTTCGATTTACACGGGGGTTTAGATTTTGTTGTTCAATAGTATATTGCTTCAATAGTGTTATGGCAT